CAGAAAAGGTAAGACAGGGGATAAAGGTGGGATAACGAGTAGAATTAGATAGTCGAATTAAGGCGTACGGGATAGTGATGGAAAGATTTGTGACAACAGAAAAGTTAAGAGATAAAGGTGGAAGGATGGATAAGAAAGGCCCAGAGGAGAAAAAGAAGAAAAGAGTAAAGGTTGTGAGGGGGAGAGAGAGCGGAGAGGGGCTGAGGGAGAATAATAGAGGAGAAATGAGAGAGGCAAAGAGATGCAGGAGTGAAAGCGAGGGGAGCGAGATGGAAGGGGAGGGGGGAGAAGGATTGGATAACACGATAAGAGAAGTGGGAAAAAGTAGTGGTGTAGAAGATATAATGGAAAAGATACGGGCAGATATAAGAGATTTAAGAGAGGCATGGGAGGACGAAAGGAAAGAATGGACAGAAATGTTTAAAGAAATAATGTGAAAAATGGAAAGAATGGAGGCAGAGGGGAAAAGAAGAGAAGAAAGATAGGAGAAAGAAATAGGAAAAGTTAGGAGAGAACAAGAGAGAGAGAGAGAGAAGAAAGAAAGAAAGAGACGAAAGAAGAAAGGTAAATGCAGAAAGTAGAGAAAAGAAACTGCAGGAAAAATGGGGAGAGAGGATGAACTAGTTGGAAGAGGAGTGCGTGAAATTAAAAGAAAATATAGAAGGAGGAAACAAGAAGCAAAGAGGAACAGAAGTAGGCAACAAGGAAGAATTAGAGTATATTAGAGAAAAAATGGATAGAGAAAGTAGGATAAACAATATAATAGTGACAGACTTAGAGGGAGAGTTAAGATGGGAAAAGACGGGAGAGGCAGTGGACTGGTTAAAGGAGGAACTAGAAATGAAAGGAGAGATAGTGAATCTGAGAACAATAGGAGGAACAGCGGGGAGGGATGATCGGAGAGAAAGAGGAAGAAATATGTGACAAATTAGATGCGCTTCATGGGAACAAAAAGAAGGAATTATGAAGAAGAAAAAGAAGCTGGGACAAAAAAAGATATACATAGATCAGGACTGGACGTGGAAGCAGAGGAAGATAAGAGAGGAAGTAAGAAGGAATGCGAGAGAAATTAAAAGTAAAGATAAAGAGATAAAGATGTGGCATAACGGGGTGAAGTCAGAGGAAGAAGAATGGTAGTGGAGCGAGAAAGAGGGAAAAATGGTAGGAAAAAGGGCGGAAGGGTTTCGAAAACAATAGGGATAAAAGAGAGAGAGAGAGGAGGGAAGGGAGAGAGAAGGAAGAAAGGCAATAAATATACTATTCTGGAACGTGACGGGGATGAGGAGCATGGAGGAAGACGACTAGGAATATGTTAGGGAATTCAACATAATAGGGCTAACGGAAACCTGGGTGAAGAGGCAAGGGGCAAGAACTGATGTGGAGAAACAACTGAAAGGGTACAACATAGAGTGGAGAGACTCAAGAAGGGAAGGAAAAGGGGGGGAGAGAAATAGGGGAGGAATAATGGCGGTAAGACAGAGGAAAGGGATGAGTAAGGTTGAATGGAAGAAAGAAAAGACAAGTGAGGTAATAGTAGGAGAACTAAAGATCGGAGGGAGGAAATACATGATAGCATCGGTGTATATGCAACACGAGAAGAAGGAAAACTATGAATACCTAAGTGAAGAGATAGAGGAGAACAGAGGAAAAACAAGAATTATAGGAAGAGACTTCAACGCAAGAACAGGAAATGAAGGGAGAAAATGGGAGACAGAAAAAAGCCTAGAAGAAATAAAGGCCAAGGATAAAGTGTTAAACGCAGAGGGAGAAGAAATGATAAAATGCCTAGGAGAAAGGGGCTTAGTGATAATGAATGGGAGAAAAGAAGGAGATGAAGAGGGAGAAATAACATATATAGGAGCGAGAGGAATGTCAACGATAGACTATGTAGTAGGTAACGAGGAAGTTGATGAGACAATAAAAAGGGTTATTATTGTTATATTTGTGAAATTTATATTTGTGAAAATTCTGGGATAAAGTGAATGGCAATAGGAAGAAAAGAATTGGATTAGATGAAAATATAGATAAAGAAGAATGGTGAAAGCACTTCAAGAAACAACTGGGAGAGAAAGAAAAGGAAGAAAGCAAAGGGGAAGAAACCGAAGACAGCGAAGGAGAGGAAGGTGAAGAAATCAAAGAAAGAGAAGTAAAAGCGATAATAAGAAAAATGAAAAAGAAAAAAGGCGACAGGAGAAGATGGTATAGCAAATAAAGCGTGGATGGAAGGCACAGAAGGCTTGATAAAAGATATGATAAAATGCTTAAACGGAATATGGAACGGAGAAGGATATCTGGAAGATTGGAGGAAGGCAATAATGGTACCAATATATAAGAAAGGGAGGAAAGACGAAGTAGAAAACTATAAAGGAATAACGCTGATGGACACGGGATAAAAAATATATGCGGAAATACTGAGTAAAAAGCTGGAAAGAGAACTAGAAGCTAAAGAAACGCTAAGCGATACGCAGGTGGACGCAATATATATATTAAAAACAATAATAGGGAAGGAAATAAGGGAAAAAGGAGGAAAACTGTTTGTATTCTTTGCCGACATGAAGGCCGCTTTTGACAAGATAAAGAGGAAGAAAATATGGGAAATCATAAAAGAGGAAGGGATAAATGGGAAAATCGGGAAAAGAATAGAAGAAATATATAAGAAACAGGGAGTAAGGTAAGAGTAGGAGGAGAAATAATTGGGGAGTTTGAGACTTACAAAGGCGTAAGGCAAGGGTGCCCTTTGAGCACCACGCTATTTAATCTTGCCTTCGCCGGCCTGGAAGTGAATATCAAGCAGGTGTAGGAAGGAGGGGTAGTGATAGGAAGGAAGAAAATATGGACATTAGGATATGCAGATGATATAGTGCGAAAGTGGAATGAAAGCAATGCTGAAAAAATTAAAAAGATACCTGGAAGAAAGGGGATTAAAGTTAAATGTAGGAAAATCAAAGATGATAAAATGCAGGAGAGGAGGAGGAAGGGGAAAGGAAGAAGAATTCGAATGGGAAGGTGAGAAGATAGAGATGGTTAAAGAGTACAACTACTTGGGATATGTGATAACGGAAATAAAAAGCAGATAAAGAAGGTAGAAGGGAAAATAAATATGGGATTCGGAAGACTATGGGGGCTAGGAGAAAAGCTATTTAGAGAAAATTGGGAGCTAAGGATGAACCTGTTTGATGCACTGGCGGAAAGCGTGATTATGTATGGAGCAGAAATCTGGGGATGGAAGAGATATGAAGAAATAGAGAGACTACAACTAAAATACATAAAGTGAGTATTATGATTAGATAGAAACACGCCAAGTTACTTAATACGATGGGAAACAGGAAGAAAAGAAATGAAAGAAACAGCATTAGAAAGAGCAATGAGGTATGAAAACGAAATAAGAGAAGAAAGAGATGGCTCAATAAAAAAAGAAGCATAGAGAGAACTAAAGAAAAGGGAAAGAAATGAAAAAAATAAAAAAGGTAAGAAGGAGGAGAGAGAGGAAAGGCTAGAAAAAAGTAAAATATACAGAGAGAGGGAAGAGGGAGATGAAATGAGGGAAGAGTTTTGGGAAGAAATAAGAGATGAGCTAAAGAAAAAAGAAGAAAAAGAACTAGAAGAAAGACTAGAAAAATCAAGATACATAAACGAGTGGAAAGAACTGAAAGAAGAAATGAAAAGGTATGGGTTAAACGAAATTCAAGGAGAGGGAAGAATAAAAGGCCTACAAATAAGGGAAAGGTTTAGGTTAGGTAATGAAACGAGAGGAAGCAGGTATTGGGAAAAAGAAGAAAATAAGAGATGCAGAATGTGTATGAAAGAGGAAGAAAATTGGAAACATATAGTAGAATAATGTGAAAAAAGCAGAAAGGAAGGGAAAGAATGGGAAAAAATAATAATAGGAAGCAAAGAAAAGATAGCATGGATGATGGAGATAAAATGGAAAAGAAGAAGAAATGAAGAGAAGAAAGAAAAAGAAAAACAAGAAGACGAAACTGCAAGACCCTAAGGTGAGACGGAAACAGAAGACAGAGAAGCAAGACTCGCAGACACATCTACATACACACAAATACACACACATACACACAAGGTATTGGAGGATGGAGTAAAATGGAAAAGAAGAAGAATCGAAGAAGAGAAAGAAAAAGGTAAATTAGAAGACAAATTATAAGATACTAAGGAAAAATAAGTGAGATTGAGGAAAGGAAAGGCAAAGGGAGCAATAGGAAATAAGAAAAAGATATCAAAGCCCTAATAAGGAGAAAGATAGATGAAATAATTCGCAAGAATGACAGCAAAAGCAAAGGAAAGGCAAAGGTGAAAAGGCAAAAGAAAGTAACAAAGGAAAAAGTTGAAAAGAAAATATGCAAGAAAGAGAAAAACAGAAGAGCGGAAAAGGTAGATTTCGGACAGAGAGAGGAAGAGAAGATTAATTAATAGAAAACATGGGAAGAAAAGCTGAAAGGACAGGCGCAGAAGACAGAGACGCAAGAGTTGCAAACACACCTACATATGTACATATATACACAACACACACATACACACACACACACACACACATACACGCACGCACACACACACATACACACACATGCAACACATACATTATCAACTACACAAACTGGATACGAGACACAAATAGTAATGTAAGAAATGAAAACCAAATGTAACATATAAGTTGTAAATAAATAAACTAACTGACTATATTTTATTTTATACGGTCATAAAGGTCTTCAAAAAATCTTTAAAATGGCCTCCAATGAATTTTCTTCGGATATCTTCAAGCCAAGGAAAAACACTTCGAACTTTAAGTAATGTTAGAGTCGTGGTCAAACATGGGTAGATGGCAATGTATAATATAATATGTGCATATTACTATAGAATCTCAGATAGTCTTGAGACTATGTTTAAGTAACCTATACGAGGAAAAAGTTAGTCACATATTTATCATAATCTTTTACAAACTATCACTGAATAAATTATAAAGATATATTAAGAATGATTAGGTTACTCACCAATTGAGAGTTATTAAAAATGTTTTCAATCTCATATTTGGAGTTTTAAAAAGTGATGTTATGTTTGGCTCCTTTTGAGAGTGATATATGTCTGTGTGTTTGTTCTGACTAATTTTCGAGTGCATTCTAGTTAAAAAATTTTGTGGTAACTGAGTACCATTTATCCGAGCTAAATTCATTAGTACATCGTTTGCTTCATTTAGACGACCTTTCGCTATTAACCAACGAGGAGACTCCGGTAAGAACCTGTAAAAGGTTAAGGAATTGAAAGAATAATCAATGAATCATATATAAACATATCAATTAAAATTTTCCTTATTTAAATTATCGAAACACGATACTATTTCAATACACGAAACGTCAGAAACCTTTTATTTATAATGAAAATTTTTAAATTATAAAAAGATACACAATTGAGAAGGATTTACTATTACTCAAAAGCTTTTATCTGAGCTACACTGCGTGTTAAAAATTTTTCAGGTACTCTTCAATTCTTTCAGTAAGTTTATAGTGTTTTTCATTTTCATTGACCAAAATAAATTTGAGAAAATATTTCAGCGAATATATCTATTATGTCATTTTGAAGTTCAAAAAGCTTTAAAATTTTTTAAGAGTGCATTCACTTCTCGGCGAGACTCAATGGCATCCATTTTGAATCCCTCTGTCCATGATCGATAGTTTTAGGTGATCGACGAGAAGAGTGGATCGATCCGTGAAGATTAGGACTGGAAAATTTAATAGACCACATCAACTATCCATGGTGATATGTGATTGTACTTGTCTCTACCGACAATCGGCCCATCTGCGCAAGGGGCTTGAAACTAGAACCTCCGGTTTTTCAAGTTCCTGAAATAAAGTGGACTTTATGTTGTGTTGATGATGACTGATTCTTCTACTTAGATCAGCAATGGAGATCATTTATGAACTCGTTAATCACGTTAATCATCGATCAGGGTTTTTTTATTAGTAGTCCATGAGCCCAACGTAAATATTCATAATCGCTTTTTTTCATCCAACAACAAAATGATAGCGAAATGTCTTCGGATAGAATGACGCATGAGAATGAATGATATATAATTATAATAGTATATACAGGGTGTCTCAGACCACCCGTCCACCCCCCAAAGTATGCCGAAAAAGTTTTTTTTTTTCAAAAATTGATAACGCAATTATATATAAATCGAGTACGCTCTATCGATTGGACATAAAATCAACTTCCGGTTCCAACGGAAAATGGCCTATTCAGACCGGAAGTGCATGAAAATCCATTTTTTAAAATGGGACATGCATACTTTTTTTCAGATTCAGATTCTACGGTAAAAAATACGAAAATTTCATAAGAAGAATTTTTTGAAAAAAGTTTTGACGTCTGAAGTCTGTAATCCACCAGTTCATACTCAAGCTGCGAATATGCACGTTTTAACAATGGAATAGGATAATGTGGCTCCTTTAAGAGGTTTTCGGGGTCGATGAGTCCGAATCCAAGGTGAGTTTGATCTTATCAGGTCATTTTGAGGTAAATTCAAGGTCATTTAAAAGTAAAACAAAAAAAAATATTAGATTTATCAAGAATGAAGTACTTTTAAAATTTTAGCCTTAATATTACAAAAATATGAATCTCGTCGTTTTTTCATTTATTCTTGTTATTATTAATCTATGTATTTACATAGCGTACTTTTATGAAATTATGGGAAATGAAATTCCAAAACAAATTAGTTTAGCGAGATAAAAATCTTTATTCTCAAAACATAATAGATTTCGTTGCAGTAGCAACTGTTGAATATGAGGTGGATCGTTAAAATAATAATAGTGTTGAGGTTCCCCTCTTTACAACAATAATAATGACATGATTATTTATTGTTAAAAGTCAGTGATTGAGTTGATACATATAGATTACATACATGTATCCAAGTCATGTCGAGATGCGCTCTTTTATCTCTTACATAGCCGACTGACTGTCATATACTTTATACATGTGCGCACGCACTCACACATCCTCACATACATACTGATAGCGGCGCGCGCATCATCACTCATGGATATATTTATATTACATTTGTATGTGTGTACAGTATAGTTATTACGTATAATTCAACAGCAACATTTGTTTATAATAACATAAATAATGATAATTTGTTTTATTAGAACCTAACATAATGAAAATTTTTATAACATAATTAGATTTTATCTTCTATTGTTCTGTAAATAAAATTTTTTTATGAATAACGCTGAAATAACTCTGCGAAAATAGACGGTGAAGATTTGACAAAAACTTTTTTCAAAAAATTCTTCTTATGAAATTTTCGTATTTTTTACCGTAGAATCTGAATCTGAAAAAAAAATATTCATGTTCCATTTAAAAAAATGGATTTTCATGCACTTCCGGTCTGAATAGGCCATTTCCGATTGGAACCGGAAGTTGATTTTACGTCCAATCGATAGAGCGTACTCGATTTATATATAATTGCGTTATCAATTTTTGAAAAAAAAAACTTTTTCGGCATACTTTGGGGGGTGGACGGGTGGTCTGAGACACCCTGTATATGATATATGATTATGATTTATGAATGTAGATGATTAGTGCTAAGTTTTCCATGATCGCCGTCGTGGGAGCGATGGCGGATTCCCTGTTGCTTCGATAGTTAGTAAACTCCTATTCCAGATACGGTATACTACGCGATAAGTTTTCTATGGTGACCTCTACCTTACTGACCGATAGGCGTTGACTCGACCATTAACATCGTGCTTCTGAAGAAAAAAGTTTTACACGCATCATGACTAGGCCTACGTTTAAAGTAGAATCCGAACCACTGGAATTATGGTAACAAACATATGAAAATGACATTTCTGAAAGTTTTTATATGTCCGGAGCTCGAACCTATGACCTCTTACACAATAGCCTGGGCTCTTACTTACCGAGCCACCGTGACCTCAAAGTTTTATTATTTATTTTAGCTCTAAAAGTTCTATCACTTAGGTATGAAGTTAAAATTGAGGAAAGATTTCCAGATGAAATTTTACTAAGTTTGAATAATAAGCCTTCATGCCAGACTTCATAAAAAAATACTGCGGTACATTATTCATTTTTTTTAGTTTGTCTAATTTTAATGGTTACTCTGTTAACATGTTTTATTGGTGTATCACGCCCGTGACTACAATCGTTGAAAGAATAGCAAAAACCATCTATAATCAATATTATATCATTCACCCTCATGCGTCACCTAATCCATTAATTTTGTTATGGGACTAAATAAGTAATTACAAAATCCAAATTGGTGGTGAGGTATTATATTTTGTTCTGTTAATATTTAATTTAATTTTTTAATTAATATTTTCCACATATTTCTGATTGGGTATGGAGTTAACTAATAAGCCTGTAGAATAAATCGAGTTTGGATGGCTTACTTGAGATTTCAATGAATATAATTTTGCTAATTTACATAGTATGTGAATGTATAATCATTGAATTATTACATTTATTAAAAAATTAACTAATACTATTTCTTTATAAGAATGTTCTTTAAGTAATTTTCTATTTATCTTATAGTGTTATGGGCTCTTTTTTTTCAAGATTTATTATATGATATATTTCGTTTATTTTTACGTTATTTACTATACAGGGTGTCCAAACAGTAACGATACACCTGAGAAATTTTCTCAGCCGGTTATTTTTTTAACCGGGTGAAGGTTGTTCTTGAAGTAACTTTTTACGAGGAATCCGATGGTAACCTTGGATTTGACCTTGAACCTCATTTTCAAGGTTATTTTGAGGTCAACCTCATTTTTTTAAATGGAAACCCCTATTTTTTATGGCGGAATCGGAAAGAGCGGAAAATTTTACGTCCAGATATGTATTGAGGTATGAGGTTGAGGTAACCCCTAGAGGTCAACTAGAGGTCAAAGTATGAATTCTTAAAAATCTCGCGAATTCAGTGGTTAAACAAAACAAACAAAAGGATAACCCCAGGTAACTTTCAACGGTGCTCTTTAATTTGTCCTTGAACCTCATTTTCAAGGTTATTTTGAGGTCAACCTCATTTTTTTTAATGGGTACCCCTATTTTTTATGGCGGAATCGAAAAAAGTGAAGACTCACGTATGGATGAGTTGAGGTTTGAGGTTAATGTGACCTCTAGGGGTCAGATGAAGGTCAAACTGTGGCTTTGTAATAGTACCGGGATTTTAGTGGTACAAGGAAGCAAATAAAGGTCATGGAAACCCCCATTTTCGACAGCGGCAATCGAAAGAGCGGAAAATTTCACATCCAAATATCTACTTAGATCATAAGTCAAGGGCGAACTTAAAGTTTAAGGTCAGTCGAAGGTCATCCAAACTTAAAGACGCCCTAAAATTTTTGAAAGTTTTTTTCATAATGGAGAAGGGTATTTATTTAGTAATTGCCCATCGGAGATCCGGAACCTTGAATTTAACCTTCAACCTCATTATCAAGGTTTTTTCAAGATCAATTTTTTTTACTTTTAGCATTACCCAGGAACAACGACGTGGACGTAGTAAAATCTGTCCCCTTGGGGTGCTTTATTTTCGTGAGTTCCCCTCGCCTCTAACGATCGGGGTGCTTGATTTTCGTGAGTTCCCCTCGCCTCTCACGATCGGGGTGCTTGATTTTCGTGAGTTCCCCTGGCCTCTCACGTATGATTTATCTTACATCAGCACATCTTATTTTAAGTGCTCGAATTGTTCACCGTTCACTTCTTGACAGTAAGCTAATCGGTGGTAAAAAGCATCAACAGCATTTTGGATCATTTCAGTGGGAATGAGAGCTGATTCGTCTATGATCCTTTGACGTAATTCGTCCAAGTTTTTGGGTTTAGTTTTGTATACCCGATCCTTTAGATAACCCCAATAGAAATAATCTAAAGGCGTCAAATCGGGGGACCTAGCTGGCCATTCAATTGTGCCTCTCCTTCCTATCCACCGATTATCAAACACCTCATCTAAGTAAATTCGAACGTCTCGTTCATAGTGAGCTGCAGCAACATCCTGCTGATACCATGTATTTTCGAAGTTGTCTCCGACTATTTCTCTAATTGCTGGAACTATTTGATTACGAAGCATCTCTTCATAATTTTGAGCGTTTAAGTTACCATCAATAAAGAATGGCCCTATGATTCGATTATTCACTATTCCAGCCCAAACATTCAACTTCTGCGGATATTGCGATTTATCTTCTCGCATCCAGTGTGGATTTTCAGCAGCCCAGTACCTGCAATTATGTCGATTTAATGT